CTTGATCAATTCAATCCAGATCAGGACTACGGGAAAAAGGAAGCAATACACAATAAGAACCAAAAACTCTGCATTTTGATCAATTCCAAAGTGATAGTGTTGGATCAAGGCTGCCAAATTGGGTCTGCTTGCCAAGTCATCTGCCATATGTGTGGTGTGAAAGGCACGTGGAACTGGGCAAACCATCTGCTCATCTGGAGCCTCCGAGTTTCCTAGCCACATCACATGTGCAAGAACCATGACAATGACATACAGGATCCGGCTCAATTCCAGCAATGTCGGTATGGTCAGCTAGATCAACTTCGACTGGTATGATTTGCTTTTCACTCTTGAGACCCTGAATCATTGCGCCAAAGGCTTGACTGAATGTTATAGACATCAAGAGCACGGCTGCAACATTGCTGAGTTTCATGATGAAGGATCTAAGTTGTTGCCCAAGCTTTAGTTATCTAGATAGGCCATCAAGTTTACAGATGGAATATGTCAAGACTCACCCGGAAGCTAGAGCAGTGTAATTTGTAAAAAAGTGTGTGGTTGGTATGTGTTGAAAACCAATAGTATCTACGTTAACCAAAGGGGTAAAGACAGTGGACATGTTACGCGCAATATTTCAAAAAATATCTCTAGATAGTTTATATGTAGTTGCGGGAGGGAAACGTACCAAGACAATTGTGCACAGTAGACAAACAATCAATGAGATGACTGGATGGAAGTAAGCCTTCAAGTAATCAGGGGTCTTCTTGTACTCTTGGAAGCCCTGCTGAATAGCTGTCTTTCCGGCTCTTCTTGCTCATCATGTTGTGGAACATGATGCTATGTTACCTTGAATCACCTTCAATGATGTGTACATATCATGCTGGCTTTGAAAATACAAATGTGTTTCAATCTTGTCTTGTGGAGAAGCTGATTGTAGACTGGCATGTTTTTTGTTTCTCTGTTCTCCGCTCAAATTATGTTACATTGTTTGATGTTTTAGATTTCCTTGGCTTGATGTGATAGGAAGTATGATTGCCAGTGCAACCATTGTTGTGAAGTCAAATATGTGAATGAAAAGGGAGAGTTCAATGCCAGGTTTCAAATATGATTTAGATTATAACAGGTTTCAATCAAAATACATCAACTTCCCCATAATACCCCACCCGTCCCCGCCAAGTTTTTGTTCTCCGCTCAAATTATGTTACATCTTTTGATGTTTGAGGTTTCCTTGGCTATATATGATCAGAAGTATGATTGCTGGTGCAACCACTGCTGTGCAGTCAAACAAATGAAAATGGAGAGTTCAATTCCGGGTCTCAAACATGATTGAGATCATAAAAGTTTTTGATCAAAATACATCAACATACCCATAACGCCTCACCCACCCCGCCGCACTTTTGTTCTCCGCTCAAATTATGTTACATCTTTTGATGTTTTAGATTTCCCCGGCTTGATGTGATAAGAAGTATGATTTGCAGTGCAACCATTGCTGTGACGGCAAAAAATTGGAAATGGGGTGTTCAATGCCGGGTCTCAAATACAATCCAGATCATTTAAAATACATCAACTTACCTTAACCCCTAAGCTTAACCAAGCCCCTCTTGTGTGTTTGCCGCTCCCTGGAAGAGGGGCTTAAATCGGACCACTGTTTTTGGCTGGAGAGCTCTAAGAATGATACAACTCTTGAGTCAAATAATTCCAGTCGGATATCAAGCACGACTAGATTGGTAGACAAGATGGGATCCAGCTTTTTTGTTGAGGAAATTTGGTTTTGGGAGAATAAAATCAGAAGAATTTGGGGTTGAGGGACACTGGTGGATATGGGGTGATTACAGAGTGAGACAGCCAATTGGACCAAGGGTGTTGTCAAGAGATATTGATGATGGTTGATGTAGATTGAATTGATTGGGTTGAAATGGGGAGGGAATGGCGGAATTGGGTTGATGGGCAAAGGGGGAAGCAAGCCAGCTGCTGTGGTGAGCAATTTATAGGATCAATTAAAAATTGAAAAATATTAGTTTACCAGTGTATTATTAAAGAGGAGGGCTATAAAAATGTCTAATGGTATCAAATTCATCAAAGGAAGCGCTTAAAGGGCTTATGCATTACATTTTACATCATCTATTAATTTCAACAAACTTATCAAAATCAGTATAAAATATTCAGAAATGGATTTCAAAAAGAAACTAAATAAAACAACATATGAAAAACTCAAAAATATAGGTAAATAGGCTGGAAAAGGTTTTCAGGGTATACAT